TATATATATATATATATATATATTAAAAATAATTTTATGGTAAAATAATTTTATGGTAACAAAGGGGATATATATATATATATATATATTGTAGGTGTTTAGTAATGAATGTAGAAAAAAAAATTACAATCAGAATAATTTTTAATTTATTTGGTAATAATTTAAAACACTTCCGCTACTCGTTTAACAATTATTACTTATATGGGAGTGTACTTATACTTGACAATAGTATGTCTTAATGTAAAAAAAGAATAAAATTTTCTTTATAAAACATAAGAAGGGATAATTTTTGAAAAACCAATTACCTGAAACATAGCACCTTTATATTTTATTTATTTTCATTCAAAAGTTCAGTGAGAAGTACCATTTAAAAAGTGATTTTTTTTTTTTTTTCTTCGTTTTTTTAGAGTTACTAAGGATTTTGTGGCCTAATAATACTTTCGCTACTTTTCAAAATGAATGATGAGAGTTTAGAACAAATAGATTTTGTGTGAAAAAATAAATAAATAAATAAATAAAAACAAAAAAAAGAGGTTATTTAGTTATCAAACGTATCTAAAGCCAATATAGAGCATTGTGTTTCCTTCTGTTATGACATGAATGATGGAATAGAGTTGTGAGAACAAGAAAAAGACAATACTTTCTTTTAAAATAATAATAATAATAATAATAATAATAGTAAAAGAATTAACAAATGAGCATAAAATAAATAATGATGATAATAAAATATAAGATAAAGATTTAAGTAGTTTGAGCTTACAGAACAAAATATTTCATTAAAAAAATCAAAACAATATACAAATAACAACTTATACCCAAGATCCAAATAATAACTTATACCCAAGATCCAAATACACCTAATTGAAACTCTCAAACTTTCGCCAGATTTTACTTCTTTTTGTTCACTTGAGCTCTAACACACTTTGTCAAAGAAAACAGAAAATAATACTAATAATAATACTAATAATAATAATGCTAATAAATAATTTCAAAAAAAAAATTGGGGTTGAAAGTTAGGGGCACCGAAAAAACCCTGTTCATTTTTTGACTTTACACGGAAGCTGCAATTTGTACAGAAAGCAGCTGCAATTTGCATACCAAATCTCGTGGCAGTGATAATGGTAGATTGGTAGGTCGGTGGTTGTAGGAACACGCAGCTAGCTCCTGCATTTATTGCAGCTCAATAATGGGCTGATTTGAGCCACCTATGTTGACATTTTTTTTTAATCTTTATTTTATAATAATTATATGCTTAGATAGTTATTTTTTTATTATTAACAAAAAATTCACATGAATATTTATTGGAATTCGAACCATTACCGTACAAAATACCACTAAATTGAAGTGTATTTTTTTTAATTTTTAGGTAATTATTATTTAGAGAATTAATATTGACACTCTACAATTCTACGATGTTCTAATTTTTTTTTTTTTAAAATAAAATTATAAATAATTCCTACATCACATCATGTCTTGTTATTAAAATTCTAGCTAATTAATGTTTTATCTCGCACGCTCTATCTCTCTCTCTCTCTTATATTAAAATTTAATAACAAAACTAATCTAGGTTTTCATTTTAATATTTTAGTATCCCGCTTAAGTTTTCATTTTATAAAAGAACAGCAAAATAGTTTCCACATTGCTGCTCTAACAAAGACCCGTTCACCTATATAAGATCTCGAATGTATATATAATCCTTCACATACTTGGTCAGGTGTGGTTGTGAATAAATAAAAGGTGTTTACTGTAATGTCAAAACAATATTGAGTTGTCAATCACATCATTGCGTAATAGGATCGATTTTGTGTACTTATATATTTGTAAACAAGCCTAATATTCACGTTTTAGTTTAAATCTAATATTTTCTTCTACATTTGCTTCAAAAATCAAGCTCACTAGTGACTATTTTTCAAGCGCTTTGTATTTATTCTTCATTGGTCCTTTTTTTTTTTTTTTTTTTTTTTTTTTTTTTTTTCGGTGTTGGTTCTATTGTCTTTCTTCTATCTGAGAAAAGGTTTGAACTGCCCTAGGATGATAATAAGGGAGTACAAATATCAACTCCCATTATTTAACTATATAATTATGTTGTATATATAGAAATATTTTAAAACAAATAGAGGAGCTAATTAAAGACAACAATTCAATGTGATCCACACAAAATTTATTTTTGTGAGAGGGACAAAGAATGTAAGAGTTTAACCATGCATGTTTTGACATTTGTGCCCATGTTTTTTTTTTATTTTTTCGCAAAGATGTGTGTGCCCATGTTGTAACTGAATTTTGACACAAAACTTTGACTATACATACATAAAATACTTATATCCTCTTAAAAATCATCATGTGCATGCATTTGTGCATAATCATAATAAAAAAAACTAAAGAGTTGATGCGTCAATCTAATTATAATTTTTTATTTTTCCCCTGTAAGAATTTTGTTGGAGCACAATGTACGTAGTCATTGAGATCACTCTCATCGAGAAAGTAAAAAAGAAAAGAAATGGAACTGAATACTGTGAGTTCTTTTTAATACATTTTGAAATCGATTTTTTTTTTTTTGATTATGTTAAACATCATGGAAGCTTTTGGATATTAATTAATTATATCTTTTTTCTTTTTCTTTTTTTTTTGAAATTTTAAGCAACTGTATATTAATTAATTATATCGCATCTTGAGTTGTCTTTATCTCTACAGTTCAACTATGTGCTACTCTACTCCACATAAACAATGAAAAATTTATACTGGTGGAATATTTTTCCCGATACACGAAAAGTTTCTACTTTCGAGTGGCTTTACTCGACTTGATTTTATCAGATTGACAGACGGACCATTTAGAATGAAACCAGCTACAGCATTTTACATATTTTAAAATGTTTGACTATTTAATTTATGCACTCAATTTTTCTTTTCTTTTTTTAATAGACAATATTGATATTAAAGTTTATGTGAGACCTTTTAGAATATATCATAATTTATATAATTTTTTTCTTATATATGCACTCGGTAATAACTATAAATTTTTATGAAAAATTAATTTATGAGGAAGTGTAGTCTAAACTTTTATAATATCATTTAGAACCGTGATCGAACCAAATCGTTAATAAATCGAACCAAATTGTACGGTTCAATTAAAATTTTCAGTTTGACTGAATTTTTATACACTCCTACTTACATATTGGAGATGAGGTACCACATGAATAAGAGAAATAATGGGTCTTCTAATCTCAATTATCGATTTTTCCTCCGAATACAACGTGATTGGATTACATTAAAATTCTTAAAAAAAAAAAAAAAATTCTGTAAATATTTATTTCTTTTCTATTTATTTCCAATCATGTTGTATTTGGAGGAAGAATCGATAATTGAGGTCGAAAGATCTATCATTTTTTTATTTTAATATTTCACTTTAACTCTTTTGAGTTTGTCAATATTTTACATAAATTCCCTTTATATTATTTTATTACTTTGTTCATAAAATGTATGCTTCAAATTGGATCTAGAATAAATTATTATTTTATATTATAATGAGTATCTCGAAAATGATTTCTTTGAATAGACTTGATCAACTGAGAATAGAATCGGTGGCCAAGCAAAACTGCAAAAACCCCAAATTTCTTTTATCTTTGTGCAGTTGGTGGGGACTTACTTTTATCTTTATCATTAATATATGTAACGCCCTACTTACTACTTCCAAGATTCAAAGCATTGAAATCTGCGTTTTCATTCTAATTTTAGACACAGTTTTTAATGCTCTAGCTAAAAGATAACATATTTTTAATTTGTTTTTTTATTATTTTATGTAAAAGTTAATGCTCACATGTGGTTTTTCTTACAATATTAGCTTCAAAACTAGAACATATCAATAGTGGGGCATGAGAAAATCCCTTAAATTAATATTTTTACATTCATATAGTGGGGCTTCATATACTGGATGCAAAATTATTAATTTAAACTTCAACGTTCATATAATTAACTTTATCTTGGTTCTTAATCTTTTCATATTGCATAGTGTGGTTATACAAGAGATGCACCATTCAAACTGATAAAGTAGATTGCCGACTCAACGGTCCAAAGGAAAAGTGAGTACTAAACACAATTATTGTGAATCATATCATCACTTGTTAAGGGAAAACGATCCGGATATAAAATAATGTGTATAAATGAGTGAATATATAACACTATTTTAAGTTTTTAGGTAAATAAATAAGTGCCTACTCGTTACAGTTCGTATCAAAGTCAGACTCAATTCTTGATCCGATACTACGCTAAGTGTTCGATCCAGAAGGCATCCGAGTGAGCCACCCCAAGTAGACAGGGTGGCCCAACAGCAACGAGGGCGTTACGAGTTCGGGTGAGGGAGAATATTACAAGGGAGACTTATCCCACATCGGATCCGAATGAAAAGTGACATGAATATAAATTGGTGAGTATGTAACACTACCTAACAGTTTAAACTTTTGAGTAAGTGAACAAGCGCCCACCCGTTGCATCACTCTCCTACACTAATAACAAATCAAATACATTTTACTTTTTATTTAATAATGTTGAAAGTATTGTATCTCAATATAATATATCACAGGAATATTGCATTCTCAATATATGCGTTATATAAATGTTAGCATTGGGTAGCTTCTTGTTTTCTGTTTTGAAAAGTGATTTACATGTTTTTTTGCTTTCAAAAGTATATAGAGTGAAACAAAACACGAAACTATTTTTGATAGGAGAATAATAGTCACTGAATGATATTTCTGAATAAATTTTGAATCAGACGTTATTTTTGTTTACCTCATCTACTTAACAAGTTTTTAAAAAATAATTATTTAACATATAATAAATATAGCCAACCACGTTACATTTGATATTAATTTAGAATTTTTTTTTCAATTCCATATCATTACTCTTTTTTGATAAGTAAGTGCAAGTCGCCAAAGTTTGTTAGTTCCATTATAAAAAGGGAGAGCCCATCTTCCTTAGTCATATCATTTCAAGAGTGAGAAGTGAGAAATCTAGAGAGAGAGAGAAAGAGAGAGATGGGTTCTACTGGTGTGAATGAGAAACCTCATGCTGTGTGTGTCCCATACCCAGCTCAAGGTCACATAAACCCAATGATGAAGCTAGCAAAAGTCCTTCACTACAGAGGCTTCCACGTAACTTTTGTCCTCACTGAGTACAACCACAAGCGCCTGCTCAAGTCCAGAGGCCCCAACTCCCTCGACGGCTTGCCGGACTTCCGGTTCAAGACCATTCCCGACGGACTCCCTCCTTCCGACGCCGACTCCACCCAAGACATCCCTTCTCTCTGTGAATCCACAACCAAGACTTGCCTGCAACCTTTCTGCACCCTCCTTTCGAAACTCAACGACAAGTCGTCGGATTCCAACATCCCGCCGGTGACTTGTATCATCTCCGACGGTTGCATGAGCTTCACTGCCAAAGCTGCTGCTGAGTTTGCAATCCCTGAAGTACTCTTCTGGACCACAAGCGCTTGTGGGTTCTTGTGTTATACACAGTACACTCATCTGGTGGAAAGAGGACTAACACCAGTCAAAGGTAAGTTAACTAGATCTTTTATATATATATATTGTTTGGGCAATGATACAAAGTTCAATAGTTGGATGTAATTTTCACTTGCGAATTAGTTCAACTGCGGGACTACGTATTAATTATTTATATTTTGTATTGAAAAAGAACTTCCAAAAATGTTCTTAGAAGAGACTCGAATTTTATATCTTTCACTGAGAGTAGATACTATTACGAACTTGATAAACTAGATCTTATACGAATTACTTCAATTTGATCTTGTGGTATATTTTCATATAATGCTAGATGTCATCAAATTTTATTCATGATTGTTGTTACAAAAAAATTATTGTAATATCAACTAGCTAGTGTATCGCCTTAATCTCACATGAATGAGATTGATCGTATGAATTTTCTCTCTTTAATTGCATAACGTTTGAGTTACTATATTCAACTAGTTTACCAAATTACCTAAATTTTATGAATTAAAAGAGAACTATAGATTGAAAATTCGTCAAGTTCTATTCGGTTTCATAGGGTGGGATAATTTCATGAATGGTTTCAATTCTTGTGATTTGATGTTATGACTGAAATTGTATAGATCAAGTGGTCAAACTGATAGTAAATAAACACTAATCCAGTAAGCAGTTTGTTTTGAATTCTATAGTTCATGTGATAAAAACATCTGGATCACTTTTTATATTCAAATAATAATAGTTCCTAATTATGCATTACTTAAAGAATCTCAGTCTATGAGGGTGTTATTCCGGGCAGATCCAACTTTTTGTAAAAAACTCCTAATTTTAAATTTGAACAACGTTCATGTTCTTTCACGTAAGTATTCAATTAATTTTGACATGTTTAGTTTTAATTAAAACGAGATCAAGACAAGAAAAGTCCTTCTAGCAAAAAATTCATACGCTTCTGTTTTTTAAATAAGACAAAATTAATGACTGCCAATAAATTAAATAAGTGTGACAACAATAAATTAAAGAGAGTATTTTTTTATTTTTTTAAAATGGAAATAGTATCTAACAAATTAATGAATAAGAATAAAATCTCTTTCTTCAATTATCTCGATAATTCTCCCGTACATCAGTTGATAACAGAAACTGATTACAACTTCTTTACTGTGATAATTTTTGTTTTGATTTACAGATTTGAGCCATTTAACAAATGAGTATCTGGATACAACTTTAGATTGGGTACCAGGAATGAATAACATTCGGTTGAGAGACTTTCCAAGTTTCATCAGAACAACAGACTCAAAAGACATCATGCTCAACTTCCTCATCAATGAATCAGCTGTGTCCATCAGCAAAGCTTCTGCTATCATTTTGAACACTTTCGACGCCTTGGAACAAGAAGTACTGGACGCTCTCTCCGCTATGCATCCTCGTCTGTACTCCATCGGTCCTCTACACTTGATGGTCAACCATATTTCGGACGAAAGATTGAAATCTATTGGCTCCAATCTTTGGAAAGAAGAACACGAGTGCATCGAATGGCTCAACTCACAACAAACCAACTCAGTGGTGTATGTAAATTTCGGAAGCATCACTGTCATGACACCCAATCAACTCACTGAGTTTGCATGGGGACTTGCTAATAGCCAAAAACCATTCTTGTGGATTATAAGGCCCGACATAGTAACAGGTGAGAATGCAATTTTGCCAGCTGAGTTCTTGCATGAGACTAAAGAAAGGGGCATGTTGGCAAGTTGGTGCCCCCAAGAGCAAGTCCTTACCCACGCGGCGATTGGAGGGTTCTTGACACACAGTGGGTGGAACTCGACGATTGAGAGTGTGACCGTTGGGGTGCCGGTGATCTGCTGGCCGTTCTTTGCAGAGCAGCAGACGAATTGCCGGTACAGTTGCGTGGAATGGGGCATAGGCATGGAAATAGATAGTGATGTGAAGAGAGAGGAAGTGGAGAAGCTTGTGAGGGAGTTGATGGAGGGAAGGAAAGGAAAGGAGATGAAGGAGAAGGCAATGGAGTGGAAGAGGAAGGCAGAAGTGGCTAGTGGACCTGGTGGTTCTTCTCAACTTCACTTGGACAAATTGGTCAATGAAGTTCTCTTGTCAAAGTGATTCCACGAACTTCGATTTGTACTGGCTTTGGTTTATTTCCCAATCCTTTTTTTGGTTATATATTTGCAAGTACAATATCATTATTCAATAATGCAAAAAAATATTTTTAATGTAAGAAGTGTTAGATGCTAGATCAGTAGATGTAGAGAATTGACACTTGATACTTCAAAGTTGAGGAGAGACACTAATCCATTGGGTTATCGAAACATTTGCGAAGAAGAAAAAAAAAAAAAAAGGAGATAGATTGACTAATGGACCCATAGTTATCATTTGATGGAGTTAAAGTCACTTGAAAATATGATGTTGACCAAAATGTTGATGTGAATATGAAAAAAGATTGTTCGCTGTCCAAACTACCCTTACTATTTTCACGTACCACTTTTGTGCAAAAAAGTACAACTCTTATGCACATAGGTACCACTTTTTATGCATAAAAGTACCATTCCTTTTTGTAGACCATATATGTCTGCGTACACAAAAAGTGGGACCTGGTGACATGGTTTATACAAAGAAAAAAAAAAAGGAGGAGGAGGAAGGTACTTGCATACATAATAATGGTATCTTTGTGCACAAAAATAGTACTTACATGCACAAAAGGGGTACATAAAATTAATAATAAGGGTGGTTTGGACAAATGAACAGTGTTTTTCATATATACGTCAGTATTTTGGCCAACTTCATTTTTTCGGAACATTATGACTTTGACTCCATCAAATAATAAATATGGGTCCATAACACCGTGTATTCGTAATAATCCAAAAAAATATAAGGTGTTTTTGTCAAAGTGATTCTAAGGAGATATTTGTTTTTAGAGGTGTACTAAAAGAAGTTACTTTCTAGTTTAAAGAACTGAGGTCTAGGAAGCTAAAAAAAATAATCTTAAAACTGTAAGATGACAAAAACCAACAACGCTTATGAAACATTCGTCACATAGTTTCACTAACCGGATTAAATATTCCTAAAATGTAGTGTGAAGACCTTTTCCTTTTCCTTTTCATTTTTTTGTATTTTCATTTTTCGTTTATTTTTTGAGTTTGGGTCTTGTCAAACCAAACCGAGTCAAGTGATCGGGAATAGTTCCTGACATTTCTTTAGTTTCATTTTTGCGTATTTTACCCTCGTGTCATTATGGATTTGTATGGCACTTATTTATGTTTCACCTTTTGTTACTTGGGGCTATTTGTATGATTGAATTTTGTTAACATTTCCACTTTGGGGTACTTGTGCGATTATCTTTTGAAGATATTTTTATTTGGGACAATAGTGCGATTATCTTTTGAGATATTTTCTTGGAGGTACTTTAGTGCAAATAGGAAAGGTTGGAGATAAGTGTTGTGTTTTGATTAGATCATGTGTTAAAGTTGGATTGGTGGCATATAGAGGGTTATGATGTTGACAAGTTGTGACGACCCTGGTTTTTAGGCCAGCGTGTCCTGTGATGAACTGTAAGGATGATCCGATAACGGATCCGAATGCGGAAGCGAAAACAGAAAACAAGACTCTAAGAAGTCAAAGTGACCTTCCATGAGGTCGTGGAACTCAACAAGAACTGATGCGGAAGCAAAAGATCGAAAATATGACAAATAAGCCCCCAGTGGCAAAATAGTCATTTCTGAAAACTATAGATTCGGGTGCCACCGAGCACACCACTGGAAGGACAACGAAAAACTAATCAAGATGGACTCAAGAATCGCATGATTCGGAGTCCGGATGAAGGAAAAACGGCATGACGAAGAAAAACGAGCACTTAAGGCAAAAAGGGTAAACTGGTAATTATCTAGAAAAAACCGGGTGCAACTGAGCACACCATTGGAAAGACAGCGAAACATTAGTCAAGTTCAAAAAAAAAATTTACTTGAATCGGAGTCCGGACGAAGGAGACACGCCCAAAAGAAGAATTGACGTCGCAGCGGCCCGACAAGGGGCTATGGCGCACACGGTGCCCATGCGCGAGCCCACCGGCATGCATGCCGGCGCCCAAAGACATGGCTGGTGGAAGCCCTTGGCTGCTGCTACATTTTTTTTGATCTGCCCAGAACTGAGGCTTGAAACGGAGGTCAAGATGAGTTTTTCTGGAAAAACACGAAGTAGAAACCCCCCCTAAAATCGAGTTTTCTACCCAACAATGCAGACAGAATCGAAAAAAACTCACTGTGAAATCCCCAAAATGCCCCTAGATCAGAACTGAACAAGAGGGTCATAAAGCTGCTAAATGAAAACTGGAAGCTGAAACTTCACGAGGGATTTCCGGTAGCAAGACGACATTTTCTGAAAAAACACGAAGAAGAAACCCCCCCTAAAATCATGTTTTCTATTCAATCATGTCAAAAGAAGAAAACAAAACTGATGTGAAGGTTCCATAATGCCCCTAAATCAGAATATGCAAAAAAAATGCGAAATGAATTCACAAGAGGCTCAAAACACAAACAATGAGGTTTTGTCCGGAAATGACTATGCACACAAACGTAACTTACCTATTTACACGCGCTACAATGGTCCATGGCTTAAAAATATAGCCGATGCAAAATCCGACCCCCCAACGGGCAAAAAGGCAAAAATGGAATTTGGAATGAAAACTCGAAATCCAAAAATACAAAACGGGATCAAATGACCGTTTGGCCCTTAGCCACACTTCAAACATGATTAATAAGACACTATGAAAGAATGAAAATGGAATTCCCACACCCAATGCAACCATGGTGAAGCAATGACTTGCGATTTTTCAAGATATTCACAATATTTCATGAAGTTAAAAAGTTGTATAGAATACAATACACATGTCATTGGCCTCCGGCCTCATCTCATACATGTCAAATACATTGAAAGGAGTGCACTTATGTACACATTACATACATGGAATCAAATATACATAATTTGACATATAAGTCTACAAAATGACATTTCATGCTAACATTTGCATGAAATGGAAACTTGAAAGCTACACGACATCCAAGGAATGTTAGACTTCACAAACCAAGTCTTCGTACCTGAAATATACCCTAGTATCATAGGGGTGAGTAGCATAAAGCTACTCGTAGGAGATGAGCATGCATCGACCTAGCATTTTACAAATTTATCACCTTAAGGTGAAACATGTTAAAGGGGCTCATGTCACTTAACGTCTATGTCCAAGTGAGACTCGGGGAGCATCTTAAGCTACCTTAGAGTCTAAACAACAAGAATCATGATATACATACGTGTATGAAACGAATCATGGTTGGGATAATCCAAAAAAAACACGACAAGAAGAATGCTTGAGCATAGATTAACATGAATTAAATTTTCAATACAATTGAACTAGGTTTAGAGTAATCCATATAACATGACAAAAGCATATTTGAATACAAGTTAACAAGAATCACATTATCCATGCAATTCAACAACAAAAGAGCATGGTATACAATGCAACAAGGTTTAAGTTCTCAAAGACATCAACTTAGAATCTAAAGCACAAAATAACAGTAGTGGTTCATGCCACCTAATATCTATGTTATAAATGAATCAATAGGATCAATCCTAAGCTTTATTAGAACGTTAAAACACGATTTTCAATATCGATGCAATTTAACCAATATTGGAACTTCCAATACAACGCATAAAGCACAATTTCGCAAAGTTAACATCCTGTAACTTAAAATGGAACAACAAATAAGAAACAACAAGTTACAACATCATCTAGTTATCAACTTGAAAATGAAATGCGAAATCAAACAAAGTGGATACTCGGACGTTACGCCGGATCAGACCGACAACATAGTTACTTTAGGGTTACTAGCCTATAGGTAACCTCCCTACGTGCGCACTAGACCATATAGAGGGACTATCCCCCATACTAGAACCACGTCCTAGCCATAGTCAAACAACGACATCCCCAAGTTTCCAAAATTAATAAGTTGTGCAACAACGCATATATTAACAGGAATATGCAAGATAATCAACTATCTACCAAGCACAACCAAATTTAGAAACCTATACAGTACATGCTCTAAGTCCACAACTAATATGATGTGATGAATGTCGAATCTTCAGTGTGCGATTCGTTACACGCTATGCATGAATGATGTTAAATACAAAATGTGCAAATCATTACACAAGGTAACAATATATTCAATAAGGAAAACATATTCTCATGAGTATAAACATAACAACTATGTTATCCAATGCTCAAAACATAACCAAATGAATATACAACAAGTCCATGTCCAGGATTTTGATATAGAAACAACTTTCAAACACAATTAAATCTATGGCTCAATTCGATAGAATTTAATTAAATAAAAATAATTAAATTCCCTAGATTCTAATTCAATTCCAAATAACCTCAAATTAATACATATTAAAGAACATGGCATGGTCATCACCTATATCCATTCTAAAACTCAATTAGGTTATTGGAACAACAAAGTAGAACTCTAATTAAATCATGCTAATTTAATTACCAAGGTTCTAAAGTAACTTCAAATGGTCCACAATTAATAAATACTAGTAAACAAGTCATGACCAATACAAACATCAAATTAAAACCTTAAGCTAATGGGACCACAAAATAGATTTTAATTAATTCTTTTAATTAAAATCTCTAAATTTTCTAACTTAACCAAATGCTCTCAAATTAACCTATGTTGGAAAGCATGCCAAAAACTAATGTAATATCACATTACAAGTTTATTTCATTCAATTTAAGACCATGTGAATTAAACTTTCACTAAAGTTTAATATAAATTAAAAGTTGCAATTCTCATGCAATTAATCCCAATTTAATATATGTGAACAACTATACCTAAGTTTAATTTTCTAGCATGCCACAATTCTCATGCAATTAATCCCAATTTAATATATGTGAACAATTATACCTAAGTTTAATTTTCTAGCATGCCACAATTCAATTCCAAGTTGTATATCACCATGAGGATTAAATCTTAAACAAGGAAATTAATTAAATGAAAGGTTTCAAAACCTCACCGAATATTCTAAATCAAATATATGTGAAGCTATATGGCATGTAGATCAAGAATATCAAGTCTGAATTCAAATGGAGTGAATAGTGCACTCGGGGCAAATTAAAT